TCTTCTACACAGTAAAAAGCACTTTGAGTGTGGCTGTTTAGGCTGAGGATGAGGACACGCATGTCCCCATTGTGGTGCCAGGCAGTGCCAGTGTCCCACACACAGACCCTGGGAGGCAGCTGCAGCGGTGCCAGGAGGAGGGTTCCTGGGTTCCTGCCCTCCCCGGGCAAGACCGGGCTTGGGTTTCCAGCTCCTGATCCCTGGCCCGGCCCTGACCCTGAGGGAACCAGCAGGTGGGAGCTCTCTGTCTCTTTTGCTTTCAAAGGTGCGACTTCTCAGTCACCTCTCCCGTGGCCAGGGCAGCCAGAGCGCACTGTGCTGGGCCGTGGGCGGGGCCTTTCATCTCCAGGTAACGCAAAGCCCACCTGCCAGCCTGAACAGCTCACTGCACTCTGCTGTGATGGCTGCTTTAATGTGGAAAGGACACCTGAGCAGTGCCGTTGTAATCTTTCTGCTCATCCAGAGATCTCCTGGAAGGGCAGTTAGTACTTGTGGTCAGTCTCACAAGCTTCCTAAATCAATGTAGTGCCCTACTCCTCATGCTCAAGCTTTTACCGTTTCTAAAAGTTGCCCTTTCTCTTTGCTGACTCCTCTTTGGCCGTCTGGGGTCGATAGCTAGGACTGCTCACAGCAGATTTTCAAAGCGCTTTTGTCTTCTGAGGGCTTGGCCTCATTAATTGTTTATCATCTTTGTACACCTTTTCCCCTTGCACTGTCTTAATGGAATCACATAATGAAGATTTGATAACATGGAACAGGTCAAAACTGGAGTACGGCATACCTCTTTGTTTTTGAGTATTTAGTGTCTTTACTTCCTGTTCTGTAGCTTGGAGTGGGCCGAACCCCGCTTGTGAGCTAGCCCCTCGGTAATGGACGTGGAATGCAGGGATAATGGCCATGTCCTTGGGGCTCTGGCTGCCCTGCACAGGCCCGGGTATAGTTCCTGGATCCTGCACCTGGCTGTTGGGATTTGGGAAATGAACCAATGGACGGAAGAGTTCCTGCCTCCCTCTCGCTCTCTTTCTTCCCCTCACCTTCTTTTTGTCTCTTCCTCTCTCTCCTCTTTTCAAATAAACAAATCTTTAAGAAAAATAACAGTGATGGTTCCGGTATAGTCAACAAACACAGCAGATTGGGCAAAATGCAAAAGGCTTTGAAAAGCTCCTAGCCAATTTTGGTCAAGAAACACATATTTCCCATTACTTGGTGAATTATTATTTTAACTTTAAACATTTCTGAGACACAAACATTTTTAAGAATTTTCACAAACAAGCTTTTTTAAAATAAAAGGACACTTATATTCTGAAAGAACTAGGTTTAGAAAATTCCCAAATCTAGATTAATGTCAAGTCTTAAACCACTACCTAGGACCAAAACAAAAAACCACCAAATGACCTGTTTGTGAAGACTGAATAGACATTTGCTCCAACAACTGAAATCTGAGCTGAGTGATAATGGCAAGGTTGTGCCCACTACGAAGTCTTCTCGGAATAGTTTATGTGTGTTGGGATTGGTATGTGTTTGTGCTGAGGGCGCTTGGGGGAAAGAGGCAATCAGGGGATTCCTACTTTGCAATATCATTTGGAAGCAGGTAAAATTTCATAAAGATCACAATTTCCCTCTATTTGTTACTCCTACTGAAAGTGACTTGGGACAAGTGTCTCCTAAGCTGCTCTGTGAAGCAATGTCTCCATCGGCTGTGAAGCCCTGAATTGGGCTTGGGTACTTGAGGTGGCAGTGCAGGAGTGGTGCTGCTAGGACACCCCGGTTCTATCCCAGCTCCCTTCTGGCTCGGTCCCAGCTCCGTTTCGGGTCTCAGCTCCATCCTGGCTCCGTCCCAGCTCCATCCCAGTTCCGGTTCCATCCGGGCTCCATCCCAGCTCCTCAGCCTCAGCAGGTCACCTGAGGGATATCATTGGACCTCGGGGTGGAGCTGAAGGAGCCGTGCTTGGGCCTTCTCTCCTGGGCAGGAAGTGTACCTACTTCACGGGCATGCTGCAAAGATTACATGAACACGGCAGGCAAGGTTTCTAATCCTGCTGTTGACACGCAGTAGGCCCGCAGTGCGGGAAAGCTGTTACCTGCCGTCTCTGACAGCAGGCTAGTCCTGAGACACCTGACACGCTCACTGTGGCCGCTAACAGCTGGCACTAGTGTTGCCACAAACAGTGTACAGGCTGTAGAGGTCAACCTGAGTCTCCATGTACTTTTTCCTTTTCAGTACATGTACATCCTGGGCAGTTGCTTATTCTTAAAAAAATGTCGTTGTTTGAAGTTTAGACTTCTCTTGGTTATGTGGTGTTCTTGTATGCACAATCTAGCAGCGCTAAGGGGAGGAACAGTATGGGCTGAAGAAGGATCTGCTGGACCCCCTCAAAATACAGCCAGAGTTGTTCCCCTCCAGTTGGCTTTGGCTGCACCCAGGGAAAGCGTTTGTGACACTGCCCTGCACCCCACGCCTTGGCCTACGCCACAGTGGACGTCGGTGAGACTCGGGAAGCCAAGCCTCGGGCGAGGAGTACACAGCCAGCCTCAGTGCGCAGGGGAGGGGAGGTCGTGCAGTGTGGGTGCGCTGCGGCTTGGCAGGTGCTGGCCGCCTCCACTTCCTGCTTCTCCGGACTTCCACCCCTCTGCGTTCCCTTACGGACCTTTTATGACAGATAAGCAGAGGCGTGGGTCAATAATTGACAGAGCCATTCACTGTCCTGCCTCCTATGACCAGGCGATGCCCCTGCATGCCAACCTTCAGTCACTCCCCGTGATTCACTGCAGGCCCGTCTCCTCTGTCCCCCTTGTCCACGGGCTCCTCCACCTTCTCCCCAGGGTTGCTCAGTGCCTCGGGACTTTCTCACCACCAGGGGCAAGCCTTAGAGGAAAGTGGCTGCCTTTCCAGGACCTCTCCTTTGCTTCAGCACGTGCTGCCAGGCCCATGCCCTTCCTGCCAGGGCTCAAAGCATGGCTCCTTAAACCGATGTGACCCATCCAGGAATTTAAGCTCTTGTTGGGTCTCACCAGTAACATGGGAAGAAATTAAGTCAGTTTGGCCGGCAGGATAATAGGTTTGTATCTTCAGTGGCAAGTGTGTGTGTGTGTGTGTGTAGGGGCTGTTGGCTTTCCTAAAGCAGGTGGCTGTGCAACAGCCTGGGATGAAAGAGGAATGAAGTTGTTACCCCCCTTACTACAACATAGGATAGTGGGGGGACTGCTGGGGGTCTTTGGACTTGGAATTATAGCAGGAATGAAATCATCTTGGTATTGAATTTTGGCCAAGATTTTAAAGTCAACTAGCATGTTGGAAAAGGAGCTGTTAGGCTGCTTGCAACAGGGGAGGTGCCAGGAATAGCATCCGCCATCGATGCAAAAGGGCAGAATACCAATATAAACAGTACAACCACCTAGACGGTTCAGCTGTCCCAGTTTCAAAGCTTGGTCAGGCTTCCAGCCTGCACGGCCCACGCCGGATTCCCCCGCCCTCTGCGTCCACAGCCCACGGCAGATTCCCGTGCCCTCTGCATCCACGGCCCACGGCAGATTCCCCCGCCCTCTGCATCCACAGCCCATGGCGGATTCCCCCGCCCTCTGCGTCCACGACCCACGGTGGATTCCCCCGCCCTCTGCTCTCAGCGGCTCCATGTTACTGCATGTGTCCGCTGCAGCTGTCTGCCTGTCTCCTGGCACGCATGCAAACACCCCGACCTGCACAGCCGCTCTGCCCACCTCCGCTCCCATGTTCCACAGCTCGCTCTGCGCCTCCTGCAAACCACGGTGCTCACGGTGGCCCACGTGCGGGCCGTGGCCTGCTGGACACGGGCAGCGGGATGAGCAGGGACGGTGCGCCCGCACAGGAGGCGTTAAGACGTGCGTCCCCAGCTGTGGGAGCTGGGGAGGAGCTGAGCCGAAGCCATGGCCAGGCCACTGGCAGAGCCCTGGGTCCCACAGCAGTTAGGTCCTGTTGGCTGTCTTTGCAGCCACTGCAAACCCCTTCCCAACGTTTTTGTTTGCAGTTAGCTATTTTAAAGGGATTTTTGTCCACAGAAATAGAAGCAAAAAAAAAAAAAAAGTGAAGGCAAGCCACCAGGGTGCAGGGTGCCTGGGTGCTATCTCCCTCTTCCTCCTCACGGGAGTGGGGTGTGTGCCCGCGTCAGGCTGGTGTGTGGGAACCCCATGTGCTGGAAGCCCCGCGTGCCCCGCTCACCTCTTCGCCGTCTGCCAGGTGGCCGCCCCACACCGATGGACTGCACACGCGTTCCAGAAGCGACCGGCAGCGGCCCCCCGCGTCTTATGCTGGGTTGTGGTCAGGTCACGCATGGCCTTAACATGGTGGGGAGTGAGTGCTCAGTGCGGTGGCCCTTGCGCCGGGCAAGGCTGCTCGCCTTTATTTTCGCCAACAGCCGTCTATACAAGGCTGATCCTTGAAGCCTGCGGGGCTCCTCAGCTCCACGGGCGCCCAAGGGAGTCACCGCCGCTCCGGCTCGGGTCGCTGGACGCACGTGGCCAGGAAACCCTCGGGGTGGACAGAGCTGGGGTCGAGCCGGTTTCGCCAAAGCCAGGGCACAGCATCCACGAGGCGAGCGCGACGGCCTCCGCTCAGCTCGGGGTCGCGTTCCGGAGTGACCGCCGGAGCGAGGGGCTCCAGGTCCGGCCAGGGCCACGCCCCCTCCGTGCGGCTCGCTGTTGCCCGGGCGACGCCGCCGCCCCGCCCTTGGGCCCCGCCCCTCGCGGCCTTCGCAGCCCCGGCCCTCTGTGCGGCCACGTGGTTGCCCGGGCGACGGCGGCCCCGCCCTCGGGCCCCGCCCCTCGGGCCCCGCCCCGGCCCGCCCCGCCGCAGTCCGCAGGAGCCACGGCTGCAGCCGGCCGTGGGGCGGGGATCGCGGGGCGCGGCGGGGAGCGAAGCTCGACTGTCCGCGCCTGGGCTTCGCCCGCGGGATCCGGCTGACCAGCTCGCCCTCCGGCTCTGGCCCGAGGTGCACGGCCGCCGCAGGGGCCCGCCCACCGGAGCCGCCGTGGGGACCCTGCCGTTGATGACACCTGGCCGGAGGCTGCGATGGAGGGGGACGGTTCAGAGCCGCCGGTGCGTGGGGCGCGGCGGCCAGGCGCCGGCCGGGTCCCCGGGGCTTTCCCGTTCCCGCCCGGGGCTGGGAGGCGGCGGGCGCGGGGTCGCTCCGGGGGCGGGTGCTGGGGGCGCGTGCCCCGCGCCCGCCGCCGCCCTTTGTCTGGCTCCGGGCCCGGCGCGGTCGGGGCGCAGAGGGTGCCCGGGCGCCGCGGTCAGAACCGCCCCAGGTCCGTTGTGAGGGAGAAGCCGCACGGTGGGACCGCGGCGTGACGTGCGGGAAAGGGGGAACGCGTGTGCGTGTGACCCTTGGCCGCTGGCACGCAGGGGGTTTTGGCCCCAAAGCGAGTGCGGCGAACGCCCAGGCACCGCGTTCTCCTTTGTGCGGCGAGGGAGGCCGCGCGTGTGCGTGTCCCTGGGCGTGGACTGCGGGGTGTGGTGCTTTTGCTCTCCAGTTTGCTTATCCTGCCGCGAGATGGGCGCGAGGGATGCGGCGGCCGACGTGCGGCCTCAGTGGTCAGGCCCGGATCAGGTGTGGCATGAGTTAGCACATACAGGTTTATTGCCTTAAGATGCAGTAATTGCTTCAAAAGTTGAGATTTTCTGTGCGTTTGCAGCGGTTGGCTAACGCAGCCCTTAAAAAGCACGGATTCCTGGATTCCTGGCTAGTTGGGATCGGTGGAGAGGGGGTGAAGTGGGGGGCCTTGGCGAGAGGCTGTCTTCAACCAGGTTTCCGCACTGGCAGCCAGGGGCTCAGGGCTGAGGGACGCCTCTCCCGGCCCCTTCCACACCTCCAGGGCCCTACAAGCGCTGGGGAGCCTCAGGTGGAAACCAGGGCGCGTGGGAAGCCCGCTGCTGCTGCAGCTCCCGCCTGGCTCGCCCCAGGATTCCTCCCAGGAGCTTCGAGGTTTTCCTCCTGTTCCTCCCGCTCACCAGCCACTCCCCAAGGGAGTGCAAGTCGCAGGCTCTCAACATCCAAGTCCTCTCTTGGGATTTCACCCAAGTTCCAACTCGATGAATTATTCAGGACTGTTTGAATGACGTTGCATTCAGATGGAGCATTAAGTTCTTGATACCAAATGCTAATGTTGGCACTGTCTTCCCCCCTCCCACCTCTCATCCCTTCCCGTCTAAGCTGTGGCTGTGGGGCGGGGCGGGGGGGGGCGGACCTGAAGATACAGAATTTAATAATTCAAAGGGACCCTCGAGTGGGAAGTGGCCTGTTCCTGGATTCTTTGCAGTGGGCGAGGAGAGCAGGTGCTGACACAGGAGGCACACACGTGTTCCTGCAGCCCCCCTAAGGTCCTTTGATGCTTTCCTCTTCCTGATTCAAGGTCACCATTCGGAATATCGAAAGGGAGCTCATTTGCCCGGCGTGCAAGGAGCTGTTCACGCACCCGCTGATCCTGCCTTGCCAGCACAGCATCTGTCACAAGTGCGTGAAGGAGCTCTTCCTGACGCTGGATGACGGGCTCAACGATGTGGCGTCCGACACCTCCAACCAGGGCAGCCCCCGCTTCCGGCTCGCCTCCCCCAGCATGGACAAGATTGACAGAATCAGCCGGCCAGGTATGTGCCAGGGAGTGGACGTGGCCCGGCCCCGGGGTAAATGTGCAAGGGAAAAGCTGTGTGTGTGTATTTGGGTGCACATATGTGTGTCATTTTCATCACTGGTCTTCTGGGAGAATGTCTTAGACTGTAGTGGTTCCCAGCTTGGTACCATGTCAGCATGAGCTTCTGTCCTTCCTGGGCTTGGCATGGAAAGTCTTTGTTCGAGGTATAGTAACCATCTTGGTGCTGAACTCCTTCTTGGTAACTGTGTTTGAGGAGTGTTCTGGCTCTGATATTCCTGGTGGGATGAAATAATGGGCCACTACTGGCCTACCGTGGGAACATCCGCTGATGTCATAAACTGCAGAGGGAGGAGGCGGGGCCACCTAATGGCTCCTCCCAGAAAGCTTCGTGGGGGAAGTATTTGATAATATTTCATCTGAAGACTTGATTTTCTTCAGTCATTTTTAAAAGAGATTTTGAAAATCATATGGTGTGGACTTACAAACATGTGGAAGTTGATTTCACTTGGTGTCTTGTAGGTAAATTACATCTCTGTCTCACACACAGCCATTGTTGAAATAGTTTCCTGTTGGGTTCTAGTCCTTCTTGACAGTAGCCACTGCAGAGTTAAAATGCATTAAGTTGGAAGTCACTGGGTGGTGAGTTCAGCGTGAAGGCCAGGGTGGGAGGACGGACCCCAGCATCGAGGTGAGCAATGAGCCTGTCGTCAGCTGGGTGGAGAGCCCATGGTGGCTGCCAGGCCTGGCTCAGGGCTTGAGTCTGCCTGGCCTGGGGCTGCGGGCTCGCCGCCTCTGTCACTCTTGACTTTTTCTCCTTGATGGGCCGGAGTGACTTTTCTTTGAGTGATGTGTCCTTGTGCTCCGTCAGCGAGTGGCAGTCTTTGTTTAAGGGTGATACCCTGCTTTTTAAAGGGTTATCTTTATTTGAAAGGCAGAGTTAGAGAGATCTCTCCCATCTGCTGGTTCCCTCCCCAAATGTCTGCATGGCAGAGCTGAGCTGGTCTGAAGCCAGGAACCAGAAATTTCTTCTTCCTGGTCTCCCATGACTATGGACCGTCTCCCACTGTTTTCCCAGGACATAAGCAGGGAGCTGGATAGAAAGTAGAGCAGCCGGGACTGGAACTCATGTCCATGTGGGGTGCCAGTGCCGCAGGTAGATGATTAGGCTCCTGCACTGTGATGGCACTCCCTCTCCCAGTGCTGCTTTTAAGCATGTATTCTTGTTGAAATGCCCATTGCTGCTCACTTGGAAGATACTCTGTGTACGAATAGGCGTGCTGGGCAGTATGTGAGGGCCAGGAGTGTGAAAACAAAGGCCTTGTTCCCTCCTCTGGCACTGTGGGTGTGTGTGGGGTACAGAGTGCTTATAGCCCACCTTAACCTGGGCTGCTGTGAGCATCCTTGACTCACTGGGGACCCTTGCTGGACGGACCAGGGAAAGCTTACCTTCTAGACGTAACCCACCAATTAGAAGGAGATCTAAGTACTAGTATTTCTGCATGAAATCAGATTGTGCACATGTATGTTTTTGTGAATCTTGTGTCCCATGTGTGGGCAGCGGATCTGAAGATGTGGTCTGTTTTCATTTATTAACTGTGCTGTCTGGAACTTAGCCTTCCATGGTCTACTCTGTAGGTGCTTAATAAATGCCTGTTGAACCTGCTTCAGGATTGATACAGAGGCTCAGCACACCAACATTCACAACTGGCCTTTATTTATTTCTCCAGAGTAGGAGCCGCATCCCCCCATCTTCTCCTCTGTGGAGGTTAGACAGGGCTGGCGAGATTCCCTTCCTGCTCCCTGGGAAGAGCACTGTGGCTCTGGGCAAGTGGGAGCTGTCCGCCGGCTGCTGCAGGGTGTGCTGGTGAGCAGGAGTCTGTACCACAGCTTGCAGGTCAGGGCTCTAGGGAGGGGATGGTGGCGGACCTCAGCATGAAAGGAGGCAGGTGCACACCCACTCCTGAAGTTGGGAGAGAGATGGAATTGGAGATGCCTCTGCGGCTTCACTCTCCAGAGGGCTGCAGTGGCCAGGGCGGGGCCAGGCCAAAGCTGGGACCTTCATCTGCGTCTCCCATGTGGGTGCAGGGGTGCAAACACTTGTCCATCTTCTGCTTCCCCATGCTATTAGCAGGGGATTGGACTGGAAGTGGAGCAAGCCTGCATATGAACTAGTACCCATGTGGGATGCCAGCATCAGGAGGGGCAGTTTCCTTGTTATGCCACAACACCTGCTTCATGTGTGTGTGCGTGTGTGTGTGTGTGTGTGTGTGTTGTAAAAGGAAAGCAAGGCTTGGGAGCATAACAGGATGCCTCATGCAACTGTGTAGCAGTTAAGTTGCTTTATACTTTTAATGATTTATATGCAAACCCTCCCCTCATTTTCTACTTTCTTGTCCGAATGACATTAGCTTTATTAATGTTTATTTGTAGTTTTTAAATCAGTAAGAAGACAAAGATGCTTAATTTTACTTTTATTCCTGGCACTTTCCAGAAGTATGATGGTTAGGACGAACACGTAGGGACCCAGTGCTGTGCCACCAGTGGCGACTGTGACAAGGGAAGCGGGCTCTGCGTGGCTGGCTCCACGCGATCACGTGGCCCAGGAAGAACATGTGTTACTGTTCATTCAGTCCTTGTGTAATGTGGTGGACAGCCACTGCTCGAGCTTCTGTTCCCAAGTGTGAATACTCTGTTTGAAGTGCTTCTAAACCCGACTTTCTGTTCATTGTTCGCAGCGTCCCAGCGGAGACCCTTGGGGTGGAGAGGTAGCTGTGTACTTTTGTGCTGTGGCAGCTGCAGGCGGCGTAGCCCTGCCTCACTTGGCTAGCCTGGCGGGTGTGAGAGCTTCCTGAACCTCGGTGGTCAAGTGTTCACAGTCACACCCAAGCTTGTGCTTGTGCACGCACACACACACAGCGTGCTTGTGTGCATGGATGTGTGCACACGCGCGCGCGCACACACACACACACACACACACACACACACACACACACACACGACTGCAGTGACTTAAAGGCCAACTTGAGAGTTTCCATACACGTTCCGAAGTGTTTAAGGGAGAACGTGGATTAGTCATGTTTTCCTTTTTGTCGATATGTGTGATAATTTTTTTTTTTTAAGAAAATGACATATACTCTTGTTGATTTCCTGAAAATCTTTTTATTTGCTTGGAGGAACAAAGCTTGATATTGCTACATCGTTCTGTTGAAAACCTTGCTGAAAGGTGTTGGGAGTTTTGTAGCTAGTAACACAATCTTTGCCTGTTTCATGCACACTAGGTCTTTGTTGCAACTTTGTGTGTGAAAATTTATTTACTCAAAAGGTAGAGTTAAGAGAGAGAGATCTTCACCTGCTAGTTCACTCCGCAGAGGCTGCAGTGGCTGAAGATGGGTCAGTCTAAAGCCAGGAGTTTCTTCCAGGTCTTCATGTGGGTGAAGAGGCCCAGGAATCAGGGCCATCCTCCACTGCCTTCCCTGGTACATTAGCTGGGAGCTGGATCAGAACTGCAGCAGCTGGGACTTGAACTGGCGCTCATGTGGGATGCCAGCACCACAGGCAGCAGCTTTACCTGCTGTGCCCAAGCACTGGCCTGCAAGTGTTTGAGAGTACTGGGCACTGAAGACAAGGATTTTAGCTCCGAGGTCTTAGCTACTTGGGGGGTAGCTGGGGCACTTCCTTTTCCTAACTGTCCAAGTGTTTGACTCCACGTAAAGGAAGTTTGCCTGTTGGACTTCTTTTTCACTGTACTTGACATTTCAAGGAGAATTGGTGACCTTTGGTGACTTCTGGTGACAGCGTGCATCTCGTGGTAAAAGTGCCAGCATGCACGTGTCATCCCTTCTCTGGCTTCCTTGCCGCCTTCTGCCTCTTGAGCCATCGCAGAGCCCTGTAGAAGGCACTCCAGCCCGGCGGGGAGACTTCAAGATTGGTCAAGTGTTGGTAGATTGTAAACTTATTAGCAGGAGAGCCAGGAGCAGTGTGTTTTACAAAAGGTAACTGCATATACCCAGTTTTGGGTTGGGGAGTGGAGAGTTGCATAAAGGTAAAAGGACCTTGCAGGTGTCAATTGGTCAGAAAGAGTCCACAGAGCCGTTTGCGTGGCGCCTCACTGCTGCCTCCTGCCCGACATGCGGGTGGCCCCCTGAGGTGGCTGGCACTGGGGAGTGTTGTGGTGGGTGTCTGCAGCCAGACTTGAGGCTGAGGCGTGGAACCTGGTGGTAATGAGTGGCTCATCTGTCCATATTGGAAATGCTTTGTTTCCCGTTTTGTATTTAATCTGAAGACATAGCCCTGGACGCTGACTTTTTGGAGGAAATTTGCTTTGACCCACTTTGAAAGGATTGGGAGTCTTCATTTTAGAATTGTGCTGTGACTTTGCTTGTAAGGCACGTCGTGGGAAGAATTGATTCCAGGAGGTCAGAGAGCTCACACTGTTCCGAGATGTTGTTGGCCCCACACATTCTGCTTATTCATCATCATGGTCCTTCCTCTCCATGTCATGGCAAGAGCAGAATCAACCGATAGGAATCTGTAAGCACCACACCTGGCACTGGGCAGTATGCGCTCATTAACCTGAAGCTTTGAAATAGGGCTGATCTAACTGAAGAGCTGAATTTTTCTTCTAAGATTTATTTATTGAATTTTATTGGAAAGGCAGATTTTACAGAGAGAGAAGGAAAGAAGTCTTCCATCCTTTGGTACACTTTCTAAATGATCCAAAGCCAGGAGCCAGGAGCTACTTCCAGGTCTCCCAAGAGGGTGCCAGGACCCAAGGCTTTAGGCCATCCTCTGCTGCTTGCCCAGGCCACAGGCAACTGAAGCAGCTGGGACACATACCAGTGCCCAAATGGTGCCACCAGGTAGAGGATTAGCCTGATGCCCCGTCATGCCAGCCCGGAAGACCTGAAATTTTATTGCTTTAATTTTGGCCACACTGACTAATGGCTGCTGTATTACTCGGCTTAGCCAGAGCAAATAGCAAGTTGCCTCTGTTATATTTTTGTCCTTCATTCCTGTCTTTGTTTTTTTATTAGATTTGTTTCCCAGAGTATCCTTACATCTGTTTTCTTGGAATACAGATTCTGTCATTTGTTTTTGTGAATACAATGGTGGAAATATGACAGAGGAAATAAAATGGGTATAGCATTCAGAAGAAAATCTTCAGAGCTTTTGAGATCTGTTTAGAAAAGCAACCAAGACAACTCTTTGAAAAAGCTACATGAAAATTCATAAAAATCTTGATTTAAGTTTATGTGGTTTGAGAAGTTTGATGTGAGGCTTTCTACCTTCTATTTTGATGCGAAGCTGACTAAGGTGTGCAGAAAAGGGATGAAGTAGTAAAAAAAATTTTTTTGAAATAAAATTCGAAATCTGAGTGTCACTAGTGTGCATGTTACAGCATGATTTTGTTACCATGATGTAATGTTATTTGATCATGTCACTGATTGGATCACAACCTTCATACAATCATAACCTATTTTATTTATTCTTGGCTTTTGGGATGAGTTATTCATTCATGTCAATTTCCATCACCTGGTTCATTTGTGGAAGCATCTATTGTGACATTCCATTTGTTGAAACTTGACCACTGCACTGTGTACTCTCAGAATTGCTGGGCCTGTTTGCCGTGCGGTTTCCCTTGGCGTGTGTTTTGCAGCGGCCTTGCTGCTTGTTTCCTTGCATGCCTGTCATGGTGTGAAGCATCCTGGGCTGCCCTGCATGCTTGGGGGATGGCAAGGATTTACCTTACGACAGCTGTTCTGGGTGCATTAATGGTACAACATGTGAAGATTCAAATTTCTTTACATGGAGCTACTGGCAGCCGTCCGCATGCTTGTGGCATAAGTAGCCTGTGGGATTGAGGCCGTCCATTTTGCATGCTGTGAAGTCCCATAAGACGCACGCTCCGTGGACTGACATGTTTCAGCAGCTGCATGCCATGCTGCACGCGTGAAGTCACCCCAGAGCAGCACTGCTCCCCTGCCAAGGCCACGTCCATGTGGCTGTGAGAGATCCTGTCTGCAAGTGCATGTGGAGGGTGGCCGTTCTTTCTCTGCACTGGATTGTGGCAGCCTGCTCGGGGCCAGAGGATAAGGAGCTGGGGTTGTGGTTGAGGGAGTCATGTTGTGGGGTGGCCAAGGACACCTGCTGGCAGAGTTAAGTGAGCAGGCCTAAATTCCTGGGGCCAGTGAGGCAGGCCCGCAGGTGTTGACCCTGCAGGAAAACAGACGGTGCAGGTTCATTTGTTGCACTATGTATGTTGTGAAAAGTTACTTGTAGTGCTTTGAGCAACTTTTGATGCACTGAATTAAGTAATCTTAATGATTCTTTGTTTCAGGTCAAAAGAAGATACTCTATGGTTGGTCCCCCCTTCAAGTTACTAAACTCTTCTAGGTCTACGAATGCATTTTTCACTCTTCTGTAGATTGTGCTTGGCTACCCATGAACCCTCCCTTCTGCATTTTCCAGATAAGACAGTAATACTACACTGGGGACGCCCTCGTGGTTCTTTAAAAAAGTTTGTTCTCACATGCTTCCTTGTGAGTCTGGCATTTTAACCAGGAAATGTGTCACATGTGCGATACATGATGGAGAATTTTGCACACAGTTTAAACTCTCTCACGGACCTGCCCTAAGTCCCCTGCTCTCCGCGCCAGCCCAGCTCCTCTCCATCAGCTGCGGCTGGGGCCTTGCAGAGTGGTGCACCCCGCCACCATGAGCGCTCGCTGCATTTGGAAGCATCCTGGCCCCATGTAGTGTTATGTTCTATCTTCATAACCTGGGATGGTATACGGGTTTCCTCTTTCTCTTGGAGTTGGCGCCTCTTTAGCAGCTTGAGCTTGCCTTTTCGGTTCCAAAGAGAACCCGTTATTAGAATGCAGTGTTGCCGCATGGAGCCAACTTGGGGATCCCTCTTTGGGGACCTGCGTGTAGATGCGTGTCCTCCCTCTTGCCTAGCCCGCTGGTGGGATTTAACGAGGGCTTACTGATCACACAGGCTGGAAGCGCAACTCCTTGACTCCTAGGACGACTTCTTTCCCTTGTCCTGGCTGTGAGCACGACGTGGACCTTGGAGAACGAGGGATCAGTGGCTTGTTCCGTAACTTCACCTTGGAGACGATCGTGGAGAGGTACCGGCAGGCGGCTCGGGCGGCCACGGCCATCATGTGTGACCTCTGCAAGCCGCCCCCCCAGGAGTCCACCAAGAGCTGCATGGACTGCAGTGCCAGCTACTGCAATGAATGCTTCAAGATCTACCACCCATGGGGCACCGTGAAGGCGCAGCACGAATACGTGGGCCCCACCACCAACTTCAGGCCCAAGGTGAGTGCAAATGTGGGGCACCCAGCCATGAAGGACTGTGAAAAAGGCAGGTGGAAGGGTGGAAGCTTCGGGGCTGAATACCCCAGTAGACAGAGCCAAGATTGCAGCTCAGCGAGTCCCTAGCCATGGCGTTGAGTACCAGGTGAAGAGCAGACTGTCCGAACATCCTCCAGAGTGGGAATGGTCGCCACCATCTGTGGCTGTCGTGACGAGCCCCACGGTGGCCCGGAAGAGTTGGGTAGGAAGTAGCTTTTCATATGGTGTCAGAGAATGAGTCAGAACCATGACTGGTTGTTATTTGAAAGACTTGATAGTAATAGTTTCCTTGTAAAGCAAGGTGAGGCCATAGTTTCTCTTAGGCTGTTATGATGCCTCAGAAAATATTGATCATTAAGAACTACCACATCACTAGGGTCAGAGGGCCCTTCTGGCTTGGGTAGGTGTGCCACTTGGGTCTGATAGGGAGTTTGTCATTTTCTTATCACCAAATGAGAAGAGATAACATCTCCAGGTGTAGAATTGTTGAACTTCTGTGTTGACTCCCAGGCAGTTCTTGGGGCGTTGCAGCATCTGCACCTGCAGGCTGTTCTCACGCGGTGATGAGGGACCTTTCCCAGGTCACATGACTGTTTCTGACCATTAGATTCTCATGTGCCCGGAGCACGAGACGGAGAGGATCAACATGTACTGTGAGCTGTGCAGGAGGCCCGTGTGCCACCTCTGCAAGCTGGGGGGCAACCACTCCAATCACCGCGTCACCACCATGAGCAGTGCCTACAAGACGCTGAAGGTGAGTTGGCTCGACTGGGGAACCGAGGTTTGATTTAAAACAAACAAAACTCATGTCTCCCAAGTTTTTAATTGACAAGATCATGGTTAATTTTGTGGTACACACTTACCATAAATACTTCACAATGTCAAGTATTTCTGATCGGCTGCACTTTGGGGGCCTGCTGCCAGCTGAAGCCTACACTAGGGGTGCAAGAGGTGACGCCCTGCTGTGGTTCCCAAGTGAGCCCAGTGTCTGTGTTGTTGAGTGTGGGGGGATGACATGCTGTTGAGGGACTGAAGCTATTTTAAGACCTAGCCTATGGAATTGTTACAGACTTTGTTCGCCTGCTGAGCTGGCATTCCTTCCTGTCTGTCAACTTTAGTTCTTGTGTGTTTGAGACACAGAGGGAGTGAGGAGGGCCAGAGACACACATGTGGGGTCGTTGCATCTGCTGGTCCATTCCCCAGGTACTAGTGATGACTTGGGGGGAGCTGGGGGCCAGGGACCCGGTGCCTTCAACCATCACCCTTGCCTGGCAGTCTGCATCGGCAGAGGCTGGGATCAGCAGCCAGAGGCAGTTACCAAGCCAGGCGTCCTGATGGGACTGGCGTCTGCTTTGTTAGCCTGATGCACGACCCGTCAGCCTGTGGGAAGTGCACCTGCTCACTGGGAGATGGAACACCCACTCCAGTCTCAGCTTTGTAAGGTGACCTCTTCAAACTTTAAAATTTGGTCATGAACATGAAGTGGACAGTGGAATAATTAGTTCATCTACAAGCCAGCCACTCATACTAATCGTTTTCTTCCATTTTAACCATGTTTGCATGCATGTGTGTCCCCGTTGATGTCATGCACATAGCTGTATGTCTGTGTTGAGCTCCATCTTGGTTCTGCCTGCGAGCGCTGGAATGCAGGTGCACTCCTGTTGTTTTGTGTCACCCTCTGTCTCCCTCATTGCCAGGTCAATCTGATCAGTTGCCTAAGTTTACTTGTCCCTGCTCCTTTCCCTGCCAGGTCAGCGTTGACTGGCAGCCAGGTGCTGTGATTTTCACCTTGTTGTGGGGACCTTTGTTTCTTTGGGGTGTTGCTCTAAAGCTTCGTTAACAGGTGAGAGTGGTTTTTAGTAGTGAGCTGATTTGACCTGAGTGAGATCAGACCCCTTGGACATCAGCTCCTGGTAGCCAGTGAGCTGGGGCGCTCCCCACCTATGGGAGAGCCCCTGGAATTGCTCCTGAGCCTCCCGGGCAACCCTGTTCCTGGCCCCTGCACTTGGCTCCCATGTAGGTTGATTTGCAAGGTGTGTGGTGGGGTGTCTGCTCCTTTCTTCCTGGTAAGGTCTCAAACCTTACTGGTGTGACCCTCGGCCCTGGCAGCTTCATCTGCTGGCTCCTGGGAGGCCCCGGGCTCCCCTCGAGTTCCCAGTCCCAGGACCGGACGCCTTGTCCCGACAGTGAGCTGGCCGGGGCCACCAGGGGTCCTTTTCGCAGGTGTCCTTCAAGAAGACCTCTGCTTTATTGGGTGGAGTCTGGCGGTTTCGGGTTTTCATGCATTTTGTGCAGTAGTTTGCGTGGGAGAGTAAATCCAGACTTTGCCCCCACAATGGGGCCCTTTCTACCACTGTCTATAATTACATTTTTGAATCCGTTTCTTGCTGGTTTGTCTTCCATAGACTTGTAAGATTAGTTTCATAGAGAAATCTTTGTTGTAACATACACTTGAGCTTTCTTGTAGCTGCTGTGTTAATTTGTTGCATGTGTGTCTCAGGTTTTTAAATCATAGGCTCTGAGATGGGCCTTTCATTTTACGTAGTCTTCAGGACATGCTGTTTTCCAGATTTGGACTTGGGAAGGAGCAAAGTCCTGCCTTTGTCAGGGTTTTAGGCCTTAGCCCCCGAAGGTGGTTTCTGTGGTCATTCCTTCCACCTTTGGTCCCTATATAGACAGAGGAGGTGTCACAGGAGGCTGTGCTGTGTGCTGGGCCTACACGGGCAGGGAAGGCTCTGCTTTCCACCTCCTGAGGGCTGGCTTCCGGTGAGGGTGTGCTGTAATGGTGTGTGTGCTGTGGTTATGTGGGTGTGTAGTGATGGTCTGTGTGCTCCAGTGAGGGTGTGTGTGTTGTGGTGTGAGTGTGTGTGCTGTGGTTATGTGGGTGTGTAGTGATGGTCTGTGTGCTCCAGTGAGGGTGTGTGTGCTGTGGTGTGAGTGTGTGTGCTGTGGTTATGTGGGTGTGTAGTGATGGTCTGTGTGCTCCAGTGAGGGTGTGTGTGCTGTGGTGTGAGTGTGTGTGCTGTGGTTATGTGGGTGTGTAGTGATGGTCTGTGTGCTCCAGTGAGGGTGTGTGTGCTGTGGTGTGAGTGTGTGTGCTATGGTTATGTGGGTGTGTAGTGATGGTCTGTGTGCTCCAGTGAGGGTGTGTGTGCTGTGGTGTGAGTGTGTGTGCTGTGGTTATGTGGGTGTGTAGTGATGGTCTGTGTGCTCCAGTGAGGGTGTGTGTGTTGTGGTGTGAGTGTGTGTGCTGTGGTTATGTGGGTGTGTAGTGATGGTCTGTGTGCTCCAGTGAGGGTGTGTGTGCTGTGGTGTGAGTGTGTGTGCTGTGGTTATGTGGGTGTGTAGTGATGGTCTGTGTGCTCCAGTGAGGGTGTGTGTGCTGTGGTGTGAGTGTGTGTGCTGTGGTTATGTGGGTGTGTAGTGATGGTCTGTGTGCTCCAGTGAGGGTGTGTGTGCTGTGGTGTGAGTGTGTGTGCTGTGGCTGTTGGCTATGCCACTTGGTTAGTCCTCCCGTACAGCGTGCTCTCTGTAAGGCTGCTTGATGCTTTACTAGGGAATATTGCCTGGTTGCCTGGGGAGATGTGTGTGTTCTCTTGCTAGCTTTGTTTTCTGCTTGTACATGATGCGCTGTGATGTGATTTCTGCTTTGTGTAGGTTGGAATTGAAGAGTGTGGCTGTGTTTGCTGTAGTAATCTGGCACTGCGTACCTCTCCTTCCCACAAGTGAACTCTGACTTCCCGCAGCAGGGGGCAGTGCTGACACCATTGTGGGGTTCCTCCAGACCAAGAGACTCATGGAGCAGATACTCAGGGCAAATATGGGTGGATGACACTCTGTATCCCTCCTTTTTTGCTTGGTTGATTCGCATCAGACACACATCTCAAATGCCCACAATGGTTAGGGCCAGGCTGAAGCCAAGGCCCCGGAACTGCACCTGGGCCCCTGCGTGGCTGGCCGAGACCCAGCTCCTTGAACTGTCACCAGCAGGCAGCTGGCATTGGGAGCTGGAACGTAAACTCAGGCACTGCTCTGTGGGATGTGGGCATCTGGCTGCTAGGTGCAGCACCTACCCGCTGAGCTGGATTGTAATGGCCCACGTCCGTCTCTGCTGCTGTCTACACAGAAGGTCGCAGGGCCAGAGGTGGCTCTGCTCATCTGCTGCTGGCCGCATGGCACTCCTTCCCCTTGCCGGTGTGTTCAGTGCTGGCTTATGTGTCCCTATACTCGACATCCTTCAGGGCCCCGAAGCTGTGTCCGTGTGGGAGGCCTTCGTCTGTCGCTGGGCTCGTGAAGGAGAGGAGAGTTGTGTGGGCAGGCGCACATGTGCTGCTGACTGCTGCCCGTCCTTTCCTTGTCCTCTCTTTGTTCCTCATGTCCTGTGAGGGCTGTCATCGGGGAAGCTTCCGGGCTGTCCTCAGCCTCTGTGCTCTGAGGGTCTTTCCTGGGACATGCCCTCTGAATCTGCGGCTAGTCCCGTGTGACTGCTCAGCATCTGGCCCTGGCAGGGAAGGTCCTGCTGCTGTCCCTGCTGAGTGTGTGCAGGAGGTGGTGGTGATGGACTCAGAGGGGAAGTCCTATTCTCTGCCCCTCCGTGTGTCTCGGGGGAGGGTGGGGAGTGAGTGCGATGGTGGCAGCAGCCCGCATCTCAGCATCGCCACCCTTTCCTGCTGTCCAACCTGTGTCCCACCGTCCATGTGTCCCTGGGCCTGTGTCCCCAAGGCCCACACTTGGCACGCCAATGCCAGTGGTCAGTGGTCACCATTGGTGACGTACCAGTGTGGTCACAGGCGGTGGATGGGCTGGTGCTGTGTGTTCACCATCGTGCCCACATAGCTCCGTCCTTCTGTGTCCACAGGAAAAGCTGTCGAAGGACATTGACTACCTCATTGGCAAGGAGAGCCAGGTGAAGAGTCAGATTTCCGAACTCAACTTGCTAATGAAAGAGACGGAGGTGAGTGACAGAGTGGCCTGAGTGCTGCCGTGGTTTTCCTTCTTTGCTCGTGGAGCCCCGAGGGTGTCATACACACTGCGCCGGGCATCCTGCTGCCCTGGCCACTCTGGGGCTGGGATAGTGGCACAGACAGTGAGCTGGAGGGTCAGATGGAGGGCAGGGCGGGGACAGCCAGCTGCTCTGGAATCACAAGGAGAACCTTCAGGGACATCCATGATTACTTTGAAACTTTATAGTTTTAAATCATTTGTTCACTGGAGAGAGATGCTGACAGGGAAAGAGAGGCTAGGCCAGTTGGGAATCCAGGAGCCAGGAATCATTTTGGGTCTTCCACGTGAGTGGCAGAGACCCAACTCAAGCCCTCACCTTCTGTATCCCAGGATGTCCAGGACGCCGGAATTAGGAGCCAGCAGTGGGAACTAAACCCATGCACTGTAGTATGGACCTAACACACATCTTAGCCACTAGGTTAAGGTCTCACCGGATTACCAAATTGCTTTTGGAAAATGTGCCACCATGGGTCGATAAGGGCAGGTTAGCCTGTCTCCAGGTGTTCCTGATATGCATGCCACATGTCTTAGATAGAGGCTCGTGTGAGAGTGTGCCAGGCCGAGTGGAAGCTGCTCACACACCCACAGTCCTGGAGCCAGCAGAAGGAGCCATCTGCAACTGTGGAGAGCCATGCATTGCAGCCTTCAAGGGTGTTGGCAGCGAGACGCCAGACCCAGTGAAGGACACCTCTGTACGGATGCTGGCTGAGCATCACGGGGCATGGCACTGTGCTGTTAGGATGCTGGTGGCCCCTGCAGGCTCGCTGAGTTCTAGGGTGCCCTGTGGGCTGCATGGGTGTGCACCTGCAGAGGGTCGCTGCTCCCTACACGTGCATGCACACACCTCTGCCTCACAAAGTTAGAAAAAATAATGGCCCTTAAAAAGAAAAGAGATACTCAAACAGTGTATACTTCTCATGGCTTTGTTTCTCTGACCTGTTTGTAACAAAATTCAGGACCCTTGCTCTGGCTCGGAAAGCTTTGATTTGAGGGGCAAGTGTGCCGGCGGGTGTGGGAACACCACTTCCCCGCGTAGGTTTTGCTGCTGTTCCGGGCTTGGGCAGCTGTGACACAGCTCGCAGGTCTGTGGAGTGAGTGCCCTGCGAAGCTGAGGCCAAAGTGGCTTGTTCTGTCACAGTGCAATGGCGAGCGGGCTAAGGAGGAAGCGCTCACGCATTTTGAGAAGCTCTTTGAAGTTCTGGAAGAGAAGAAGTCTTCTGTTCTGAAAGCCATCGATGCCTCCAAGAAACTCCGCCTGGACAAGTTTCAGACCCAAGTGGAAGAGTACCAGGGCCTTCTGGAGAACAGTGGGCTGGTGGGCTACGCCCAGGAAGTGCTCAAGGAGACGGACCAGTCCTGCTTCGTGCAGACGGCCAAACAGCTGCATCTCAGGTACCCGCGTGGCCCGCCTCTTGCTTCTGGCTTCTGGGCTTCACGGGCAGGGGCCTCTGGCCTCGCCAGGGTGTTGCGTTTGTTCACGGCACTGCAGGTGCTTGGTGTGGTTTGCCCTTGTAAAGATCCGCTCTCAGGGAACGTGTGTGTCTGCAGGATACAGAAGGCTACCGAGTCCCTGAAGAGCTTCCGGCCTGCTGCCCAGACTTCTTTCGAAGACTATGTGGTTAACACCACGAAGCAGACGGAACTCCTGGGGGAGCTGTCCTTCTTCTCCAGCGGTGAGTCTCAGCAGGAACCGCGGGCTCTGCAGGTGGGCACTGTGCTTGCCCAGCCTGTTGTGTCCCTCTGAATCGGGGGACACTGAGCAGGGCACTTGAGAGCGCTCCCAGCCATGGTTCTCTCCCTAGATGCTCTTGGTTGCTCTGAGCTTGGTGATGGTGAAACCAAGAGCCAGGAACCCAATTCAGGACTCCCACTGGGTGCCAGGACCAAAGTCCTTGAGGCAGCCTGCTGCGTCCCACGTGTGCATGAGCAGGGAGCTGGGGTCAGTGGGAAGCGGGACTCGAAGCCCAGTACCCTGATGGCTGACGCGCTGCCCCAAGCGGCTCCGGCCACTCTGCCAAAGGGACGCCTCCATGACTGTGCTTCCCAGCATGGCACTGTGGTGTTGCAGTGCAGCTTGCTGAGCATTTCAAGGTGGGGCTCTGTGAACACCCCGGCTTCTGCTTCAAGCTGTCCTTTAGCTGTCCCCGGTGTTTCTTGAGTAAGACCTTTCCCTGTCGAGAGGCAGTTGCTCCTGGTTTTTCTCTGCCATCAGCACAGTCACACTGGGCATCGTGCCTGGGGCTTCTCTGGGCAGCGGGGCGTGTCTTTGGGGCAGAGCTGGAAACTGCTGGCCAGAGCTGCCCAGGAGTGTCCTCACGAGTGTCCTGTGCTCATCTGCCAGGAAGTCTCTCCAGGAGTTTTGAAGCCCCCAGGCCTGGTCCGCCCACCCAGTGCCCTATAGACCTGTAGACCTTTCCCCAACACCAGGTCAGTGCCCAGACTCTGGAAAGGGCCGGGAGTCTTGCAGAGAGAGGCGGAGACTGACAGGCTCGTGGTTAGCTTACAGACAGGCCGCTGCTTGGCCTGCAGTGCTCCCATCTCTGCATGGATCAGTCCCCTTGGGCTGTGCCCCCTCTTCCTGGAGTGGAGTCCAGTTCCACGCAGAGGTGTGGGGAGGTAGGGGGTGAGACTTCATGGGACGGCACTGGCCTCCCGCACTTCAGCTTCCGGTGATGGGGGACAGTGGCTGACCTGGCGGTTATGGCTTTGGGACTTGGCCGGGTGGGTGTGGGGAATTGCACATTGGAGGAAACCCAGCTCATTAAAAATAAAAGCTCTGATCACTGTGGCCTTTCTTTGAAAATCTGTCCCTCAGCCGGTTATGTATTGATCGGACGACATTTGTTTGTTTATCTTTTAAAAATACAGACTTATTCATCAGGATGAGACAGAGAGAGAGGCTTTCCATTGCTAGAATTCTCACAAACAGCCAGAATGCCTATTTTTGATCAGTGACTGGAAAAAAAAATGTGCAAATAGCACAAACCACCAACTATTCGACTTAATGTTTACACATTCACACTAAAGCTCTCAATTGGGTTCTACTGAAATTCAGTAAAAAAAAACTTTAGCCAACCCTGTATGCTTTTCTTCTGATGTTCCCAACAGAACTGAATACCCAACAGGTATAACTCTGCCTTTCAAATAAATACAAATAAATCCTTTAAAAAGCCACTTCTGGAGCCATTTGCATCCATCTCAGAGCCCCTATGTTGAGTCCTGAGCCAGCTTCCTGCTAACGCGCACCCGGGAGGCAGCAGGGCTAAGGGCCTGGGAGCTGTGGCCCACAGGCCAGACCCGGGCTAAGTGCTTTGTCCCTGTGTGCGGCTCAGCATTGTGGAATGAACCAGTGGATGGAAGATTTCTCCCTGTCCCTCTGCTTTTCAAGTAAGATGAAAATGAGTAAGCTAACAGTTTAAAGCCTGTGTCTGGAGTGGCTTTCTAGGTCTGCCTGTGGCTCCGTGGTCATCACTGTGCAGACACGCTATGCCCTTCTCCTGGTCTGTGACTGCACCTCACAGCCCAGTTTGTGATGGGATGTAAGTGTGCCTGCGTGTGTGTGCACACAGTGTAAATGCCACAGCTTATTGTCCCAACCCTGTGACCCAAGCTTAGGAACTCGGTGGGAAGGATTCTGCATATGCCCGAAGACTTAGCTATGATGTTATAGTCACTAGAAACCTGTAGAATACTGCTTCCCCCACCCTGTGGAGTGTCGCTGGGGGAGAGGCCGGCTCAGCTCCTCCCAGGTCGGTACAGGGAGGACCTCTGTGTTATTTAACATTTTTGTACATGCAAGCTCTTTGTTTTCTTAGCAGTGTAACCTGTTACCTGCTCTGTGACTGTGCAGGAGCTAGGGAAGGAAGTGACGCAGAGTTCACGGTATTTGCTTTCCTCACAAAGTTTAGATATTAAAATACTAAAGTAGTTATTTATCGACAGGAGATCATATAACGATTTCACATCCATAGCTATTAATTAGTAGGTGGAAGGTGTGTGATTAAAAACTTCAATTGTTAACAACTATTAGATTTATTTGGGTCTTTAAAAATTTTTTAACTTTGTTCATTTTAAAGATTTATTTATTTTTATCGGAAAGGCAGATCAGATCAGATTTACAGAGAGGAGAGAGAGAAATATCTCCCATTTGCTAGTTCACTCCCTACATGGCCACAATGACCAGAGCTGAGTTGATCCGAAGCCAGGAGTCAGGGGCTTCTTCTGGGTCTCCCTCATGTATGCAGGGTCCCAAGGTTTTGGTCCATCCTCTACTGCTTTCCCAGGCCTAAGCAGGGAGCGGGTTGGGAAGTGGAGCAGCCTGGATTAGAACCAGCACCCATATGGGATGCAGGTGCTTGGAGACAGAGGGTTAGCCAATAGAGCCAACACGCCAGCCCCAAATGGGTCTTTATCCTCCTGTGTGTTACTATTCTTTTCCCTTTCTGTTATAAATCCAAGAGTTAAGTTGCAATTAAATAGTATAATTGCTACCTTGGAAGTTTTATACAGTGTAATTCTGTGTTTTTGGCTCATGTATAGAGCTCTCTAAGGCATAGAGTCTAGGTCGATCTTTCTTAAATGTGTTGCTTTAATATCTATTCCTGTGCTTTTTCTTACACGTAGGATTATAGATTGAGGCAGTTCTTGGGCAATGTGGAAGTCGTAAAGTACGGTTCACACCACATGTGCCCTGGGAAAACCTGGACCCTGAAGGTCCCAAGTTGTGACCTTGTCCCCTCCCTGCAGGCCTGGACGTGCCTGAGATATGCGAGGAGCAGAGCAAGATTTACAACAGCGCCCTGATCACGTGGCAGCACCCCGAAAAGGGGAAAGCCGACAGCTACGTCCTGGAGTACCGCAAGGTGGACAGAGAGGAAGAGATGGTGCCGTGGAACCAAGTGGAGGTGTGCGGCACCAGCAAGGTCGTGTCTGGCCTGGACGACAACTGCAGCTACGCCTTCCGAGTGCGCGCCTACCGGGGCTCCATCTGCAGCCCCTGCAGCAGGGAGCTGCTTCTGCACACACCGCCCGCCCCAGGTACCGGGGCCCCAAGGTGCAGGACACCTCGCTGACATGCACCGCTCAGGGTCTCCGTGCAGACCGCAGCGTTTGCTGGACTCCATCAAGGGGAGGCCACACCGAGCAGGCCTGCATGAGAGGAAACCGAGGCAGGCAGGCATTTGGGGAGGGGTAGTACAGGGCTGAGGACTCAGCATTTAAAGGGTGTGACTGTGTCTTGGAGTTTTCCACTGGAGTCATGCTGTGGTCCTTGCTGTGTTTGTGGGAGTCGCTCCCACATGGCATCCAGCTAGGTGTTTTTAGGTTGTGTCACTGCACTGTCCCTGCTGTGCAGGTTCCACTGAGCTCCAGGCTGGCTGCTCCAACTCTGCACTCTCAGCACATGAGGGGGCCCTGGGCATAATGAACTCGTCATCAGGAATTCCATAGATCTGTGTGTGCGCACACTTTCCCTGAGCTGGGAGGGCGGGCCGCTCAGCTCGGAGGCTTGGAGACTTGCTCTGCTTTCGACCTCGTCTCCCACCCACGCTTCGTGGTCGTGTGCTCATGCTCTCTGCCCCTGCCCTTCCTTCCCTTTTTGTCCAAAATAGAACGAGACTGGTGCATTTGTTCTCCGTTGTTGGGTATTCAGTTCTGCTGGGAACATCAGAGCGGAAGCATACAGGGTTGGCTAAAAGTTTTCTTTACTGAATTTCAGTAGAACCCAATTGAGAGCTTTGGTGTCAATGTATAAATATTAAGTCGAATAGTTGGTGGTTTGTGCTATTTGCACATTCTTTTCCAGTCGCTGACCAAAAATAGAAGCAGGAAGAGTCCCAGGCGCCTCGCTGGTTTCAGTGCTCTTGTTGGGGGTGGGGGGTGGAGCCTGGGGCCAGACGATCCTCCTGTCCTCTGGCTGCACCCACCTGGGGGGACGCAGGAGTCTGCCCCTCGGTGGGCATCACCTGCTGGGGAATGGCGGCCCCTGGGCTGCAGGGCTCTGCGGAAGCTGTGCTGCAACAGACCGTGCCGTCCCCCGCCTTGCGGCCCAGTGGCTTTAAGTTCAGGGCGCGCACACCCCTGTGCTGCCCTCGCCACTCAGCCCCCAGAACTTTTGCATCATCCCTGAGGGAAACTTTGAACCCCCTGCACCCCAACACTGTCACTGTTCTGCCTGTGCCTCTCTGAATTTGCCCTTTTGGGGACCATCATGCATCTGACTTTTTGGGGTGCACCCCTGTGGTCACCCAGATTGCAGGTTCCTTTCTAAAGTTAACTGTCCACTGCGGGCATGCCCCTATGACTGGCAGCTGGGCTGACGCTCAGTGGCCTTCTGTCAGTAGGGACCTAGGTAAGTTGTGTCCACTCCACAGAAGAGGATACTGAAGGCTGGGTCAGGCTTTGGGCAGTTTGCAAGGTCTCTCAGAGCCCCAAGCCTGTGTTTTTCTTTAAAACAATGTGGGCCCAGCACAATGGCGTACTGGTTAAAGTCCTTGCCTTGCCTGTGCTGGGATCCCATATGGGCGCCAGTTCTAATCCCGGCAGCCCCACTTCCCATCCAGCTCCCTGCTTGAGGCCTGGGAAAGCAGTCGAGGATGGCCCAAAGCTTTGGGACCCTGCGCCCCTGTGGGAGACCCAGAGGAGGCTTCTGGCTTCAGATTGGCTCAGCTCCGGCCATTGCGGCCGCTTGGGGAGTAAATCATCGGACGGAAGATCTTCGTCTCTGTCTCTCCTCTCTATATATCCGCCTTTCCAATAAAAATAAATAAGTCTTAAAAAAACACACAATGCACCAGGTTTCTCCTATTTGCTGTCTGACTGAGAAGGTAAAGTTCTTATTTGCTTAAATAAGGACATCTATATTGGAAAGGCAGATTTACAGAAAGATCTTCCATCTGCTGGTTCACTCCCTAAATGGTCACAGCAAATGAAGCTGAACTGATGCAAAGCTAGGAGCCAGGAGCTTCCTTGGGGTCTCCCATGTGGGTGCAGGGTCTCCACTGCTTTCCTAGCCCATAAACAGGGAGCTGGGTGGGAGTTGGAGCAGCTAGGACATGAACCAGCACCCACCCATATGAGAAAGACATGAACCAGCACCCACCTTATGAGAAGGACATGAACCAGCACCCACACATATGAGATACTGGCACTTGTAGGCAGAGGACTCACCAATTGCACCATTGCACTGACTGTCAAGTCGTTATCAGACAAGTTTCCAGGCCTGGCACGTTTGCTTTCCTTTGTCATGTGGCGAGGCCAGTGACGCCTTGCTCTCCCTGTCTCTTCTAAGAAATTCCTATCTGGAAAAGCTTCTGTGACAGATCTTCAGACTAACAGGCGGGTTGATTTCTGCTCAGTTTTCAGTTTCCTCTTTGACGAGAAATGCGGCTACAACAATGAACACCTCTTGCTGAGCCTGAAGCGGGACCGGGTGGAGAGCAGAGCCGGGTTCAACATCCTGCTCGCTGCCGAGCGTATTCAGGTGGGCTACTACACGACGCTGGACTACATCATCGGCGACGTTGGCATCACCAAGGGCAAGCACTTCTGGGCCTTGCGCGTGGAGCCGTACTCTTACCTGGTGAAAGTGGGCGTGGCCTCCAGCGATAAACTGCAAGAGTGGCTCCGCTCGCCTCGGGACACGGCCAGCCCACGGTACGTGCTGGCGCGCTGCTTGCCGATGGCGTCCGCGCTGAGTTCTTTGCGTGTTTATTTTAAAGGACGTGAAAAGCAGTTACAGAGATGGAGGGAGAGCTTTTCCCTCAGCTGGTTGGCCCTCGGATGAACACGGCAGCCCTGGCTGGGCCGGGACGTGGGAGCTTCTTCCAGGTCGTCCACATGGGTGGCAGGAGCCCATGGACTTGGGCCGTCTGCTGTCTTCGCTGGCGCACTAGCAGGGAGCCGGTTTGGAAGTGGAGTAACAGGGACGTGAACTGGTGCCCGTGCACAATGCCAGCACCACTGGTGGCAGCTTAACCCACTATAGCACAATGCCAGCCCCTTACCTTTTTTTTTTTTTTTTTTTGATCACTTCTGTTTTTCTCGCTTTATCTCAAAGGTAAGCAGAGGCAGGATGGGATATGGCTATCCTAAGTGGCTCAGCTACCGTGCCAAACGCCCACCCTGAGCTCTTTATTGATTTAAAGTTTGCTGATGCCTTTAAAGGTAAACTTGTTGAACAGGATAACCCCAAAGTGTGCTGGGGCATGCTTGTTATTTCTGAAGTAGATGTGGGTGCTCTGGCTGTGCCGCGTGGCCGGCCCGTGTGAGAACACGCAGGATAATGAGATGCACACGGGTGCACACCTGAGCGGGCTTGGTTATGATGGAGCTGCGCAGTGTTTAAGTTTAGGGCTGTTTTTACGCATGATGGAAATGACCCGTACACACTGTGAAATGCGCTTGGCTGCCATACTTTCCGGTTGATGGGATGCTGGACCTTTGCGCTGGGACCCAGTTTCTTCAACTTTAGCATATGTTCTTTACAAAGTTGGTCATGGTGGGTGTGTTTCCACAGCAAAGGAGTTCCGTTTCCCGAGAGATGGAGTGTAGGTGAAAGGTCAGTTAGCCTGGACAGCAGCTTCGACTTCTGTGGATACTATCCCAGTTCTGAAGGAGAGGACAAATCTGGGGGGGCTGCTCTTGCAGCACGCAGTTAAGCCACCTGGCACTCCTGCCTCCCATGTGGGTGCCAGCTTGAATCTCAGCTGTTCTTGGAAAGCATCTGCAGATGAATGAAGTGCTGGCGTTCTTGCACCCCTGGGGAGACCCGGCTGCAGCTGACGCCCCTGGGGAGACCCTGCTGCAGCTGACACCCCTGGGGAGACCCGGCTGCAGCTGACGCCCTGGGGAGACCCTGCTGCAGCTGACGCCCCTGGGGAGACCCTGCTGCAGCTGACACTCCTGGCTTGGTCTGACCTGGCTGCAGCTGACACCCCTGGGGAGACCCTGCTGCAGCTGACGCCCTGGGGAGGCCCTGCTGCAGCTGACGCCCCTGGGGAGACCCGGCTGCAGCTGACACCCCTGGGGAGACCCTGCTGCAGCTGACGCCCTGGGGAGACCCGGCTGCAGCTGACGCCCTGGGGAGACCCTGCTGCAGCTGACACTCCTGGCTTGGTCTGACCTGGCTGCAGCTGACACCCCTGGGGAGACCCGGCTGCAGCTGACGCCCCTGGGGAGACCCTGCTGCAGCTGACACCCCTGGGGAGACCCTGCTGCAGCTGACGCCCTGGGGAGACCCGGCTGCAGCTGACGCCCTGGGGAGACCCGGCTGCAGCTGATGCCCTGGGGAGACCCTGCTGCAGCTGACGCCCTGGGGAGACCCGGCTGCAGCTGATGCCCCTGGGGAGACCCTGCTGCAGCTGACGCCCCTGGGGAGACCCTGCTGCAGCTGATGCCCCTGGGGAGACCCGGCTGCAGCTGACACTCCTGGCTTGGTCTGACCTGGCTGCAGCTGACACCCCTGGGGAGACCCGGCTGCAGCTGACGCCCCTGGGGAGACCCTGCTGCAGCTGACGCCCCTGGGGAGACCCGGCTGCAGCTGACGCCCCTGGGGAGACCCTGCTGCAGCTGACACCCCTGGGGAGACCCTGCTGCAGCTGATACCCCTGGGGAGACCCGGCTGCAGCTGACACTCCTGGGGAGACCCGGCTGCAGCTGACACTCCTGGGGAGACCCGGCTGCAGCTGACGCCCCGGGGAGACCCGGCTGCAGCTGACACTCCTGGGGAGACCCGGCTGCAGCTGACGCCCCTGGGGAGACCCTGCTGCAGCTGACGCCCCTGGGGAGACCCGGCTGCAGCTGACACTCCTGGGGAGACCCGGCTGCAGCTGACGCCCCGGGGAGACCCGGCTGCAGCTGACACTCCTGGGGAGACCCGGCTGCAGCTGACGCCCCGGGGAGACCCGGCTGCAGCTGACACTCCTGGGGAGACCCGGCTGCAGCTGACACTCTTGGCTCGGTCTGACCCGGCCCCGGCTGTGGCTGTCATCCACAGACTGAGTAAACGCATACAAGAGATCTCTTTCTCTGTCATGTGCTGCTCAATACATTTTAAAAGTTAATAAAAAGTTTGTGCAGTGGTGACAATTTTACATCACTATGAATATTAGAAACAATTAAATCATAGCGGCATGTACACATGATTGAATGGTATTGTTAATTTTTTCGAAGTTTGTAGTGTGAGAAGTAGCAGAAAGCTCTAATGTCTAAGATGTGGGCTGTGCCCGGGCGCGAGGGGAGCAGTGTGCATCCGTGTCCTCAGGGCTGTGGGGCATCACAGGTGCCGCCTCGGCCTCTGATGCTGGCATCTCATTCCACTGCGCAGGAGTGAACCAGCAGACAGGCCTCCCTCCGTCTCCCTCTGCATCGTGCTGCCTTTCAAACAGCTGAATTAAGAACACTTTGTAAGAGACACGGAAACCACTGATGGCCCTCAGACATCCTGCTGAGGTGTGGGGTTCCCAGGGCCAGCCGAGAGCTCCTGGCAATGCACACACCTTGTCTCTTCCTGCTCGGGGTGTGACTGTGTGCCCTCTGTGCCAGCGGGCTGCCTCCTGGCAGTGCACACACCTTGTCTCTTACTGCTCGGGGAGTGGCTGTGTGCCCTGGTGTCTGACCCGTCCCCTGCGTCCCAGCTACCTGTGCTTACTGTCAGTGAATGTTAGGATCCTGACCTGGGTGGAGGTCGAGGGGAAAGGCCCTTGAGGCCACGTCCAGCAGAGTTCTAAATTGTAATAGTCTCTGTTTTTCAATTGACTACATTTTAGTAGCAGTTTTTGATGTAAACATTGTTTTAACAACTCTGAATCAGTGTATTTTGTCATGTGAAGAGGTTTTGAGGATACTGGAAGACATGTGGGTGAAGTTAGTTTGTTTTTGTCTTGTGTTTTAGATATGAGCAAGACAGCGGCCATGACAGCGGAAGTGAAGATGCAAGCTTTGATTCTTCACAACCTTTTACCTTGGTCACCGTCGGCATGAAGAAGTTCTTTATACCCAAGTCACCGACGTCCTCTAATGAGCCTGAAGACAGAGTTCTGCCCATGCCCACAAGCATAGGGATCTGCCTGGACTGTGACAAAGGCCAGGTGAGCTTCTATGACATGGAGCACATGAGGTGCCTGTACGAACGGCCCGTGGACTGCTCGCACACCATGTACCCAGCCTTCGCACTGATGGGCAGTGGGGGGATCCAGCTGGAAGAGCCGGTCACAGCCAAGTACTTGGAATACCAAGAGGTCATGTAGCTTGAACCCCTGCGGTGACTGGGATGAGAACCGCAAGCAAAGCCATGCCTTGTGTCGCCTGGTAACCAATTACAGATCCTCTCCACGCTCTGTGTCGTGTACGATTCTTACACCGTGGAAGACCCGCCCAGCCTTGTCTCCCGCGTTCCATTCTGTGTTTCCCATGGCAGGAATGAGGACACGCATCCGTCAGCCTGGGTGGAGGCGGTGCCTCTGTGAGCACGGGCTCCACCTCAGTGTCATGTCGGCTGGTCCTGCTGACCTGTCCTCCTGGGAGGGAGGGGCACAAAAGTATTTATTATGCTTCTTTTGTGTTTGAGTTTTCATTTTCTTAATATCATGTGTATGTCCTAAGAAGATATTTTTAAGATGCCTTATGGTTAGAAATTAGAACTAAGTCTGTCTCACATTTGTTTAATACAAAAGCAAAGTTATAGATAGGTGAAAAGTAACAGGCCATAAAAATGGTAGTGTATTTAAGTGGAGAATTCCATATTCTAAAGTCTATAAGTAGCTACTAAGAGTATATCGCGTGGAAAACGAGTGCCGCTGTGCTTTCCGACCACACACTGTGTTGTTCAGGACAGTGGAAGAGCTCTGCTGGCCGGGCGGGGTGGCCACCTGCCAGCTTCCAGGGCAAACACGATTTCCCGTGGGAAACCGTCCTTGCTAGCAGTCTTTCTCTAAAGAACTTCGTTTTCTCTGCAGAAAAGTTTATCTTCAGTTTTGTTTTCCTTGCTCTGTGAAAACGTGTCCCTATGCCAATGGGTTGCTTCCATGAATATTAGTAGCGATGGGCTGGTGTTCAAGGCTCGTCTCCTTGGCCCTCCTACTGCGACCCAGCATTGCCATTGTTTTGGCCTAAGTACTTGTGTCACACATGAGGCTTTCCTGGCATACGTTCGCATGTTGGGAAAGTTCATAGTTGCTAGGTTGTTCAGTTACACGGGCTGTTCTACGGATCACTGTTGGCAATAAACATTTGGAACCAGAAGCAAGTAAAAATACAAGTTTAATTGACATACATCCTTTTAAAGCTGACTTTTTTTTAATTCAAAGAATCCCATTTTGCTTGAGCTGTATGTTCGTGTCAGTCGATGGTTGCTGTTGGGACACCTGCTTGCCTGGGTTGCTGTGATGAGGAGGTGTCCTGTAGGATGGCAGTGGTCTTGGTGGCCTGCAGTGTGAGTAGGTGACACAGGCTCAGCTGAGCACAGGTGCAGGGACCCTGCTGAGGACAGGCATGGCCTGGGTGACCCTCCAAAGCCGTGTGGGAACACCTCAGGCAGACGGTTTTCACTACAGAGCTTTAATGGGAACTAGAAAGCCATTTTGTTTGTCCAGCTGCACATTCGCTGCTCACCTGATTTTTCTTCCATTTTCAATAAACATTGAAAGGAAGTCAAGTGTGATGAGTCTAGTGTGTGCTCTGGGAATTACGGCCGTGAAGCTTAGCTGTCACAGCCGAGGTGCTGCGCGAATACTCTTACACCTCTGTCAGCCTTCGTTCTCGCTGGAGCAACTGACCCGAGCGTTGCCATCTTTCTGACCGTAATGAATTGGATTTTAATCAGATCTGTGGTTGTTCTATTTACTTTCAGATTCCTTCAGCTGTTGGGAGGGGCACAGGCTTGGTGGGTTGCAGAGTTTTCTCTTAGAGTCCCAGCCAGGCCGCGGTCCTGCGCAGCTACTCAGCGCCGTGTTCACACCTGCTCCTTGGAGGGTCAGAGGAGGTGGGGTGTTCTGCCGTCATGGCCTATAGCCCAAGCAGGCCCTGGGTGGCGCCGTGAGGGTCCCAGGGCCAGCAAGGGGCATCTCGGGCAGGTGTTCCCCGGGGAGAACCCCCCCCAAAGCTGGCATCCTCAGAGGCGGATTTGCATTCATGTTAAGTGAGGTTTATCCATTTGTTTGTGAGAATGTCCTGGGAGTTACATGTTTTTCTTGGACTCTGCTTTCAAAAATAAACCTGAAAGACCTTAGTATGTTTGAGTTTGATTAGGAACAATTTCACTCATTTTCCAAAAGCCAGAGCCATGCTATTGCTGCGTGGGAAGCGAACCCGCCAGCCTCTGGTGGTGCCTGCTCCCCTGGAAGGGGAGCTGAGTCAGATCTGGTTGTTGGGGCTCCCCTCTGAGGAGACGGAGACAGCCACACGGAAACCTGGGGTACAGGGAAGCTTCAGGACAGCACGCAGTGCAGGGCTGTGCCGGAAGTAGAGTTGCCTGGTTCCCAGGACTATTGCTTGACTGACCACAGGGAACACACAGTGCTGAGGCATGGGGACAAGGACAGGCAGCAGGGAATGGGCCTGCATCTGTTCCTCAGGTTTGGGGCTATTGCCCAGCAGTAAGAGCTGGAGGTGTCCTCAGATGCCACAGCCAAGGCCTGATCACCAGGGCTGTGTGCTGGGCATGCCTGCTGGACGGCAGTGGCCAGGGCTGGCAGAGGCAGGGGGTGGAGTGACAAGTGAGTGGCATGGGAAGAGGTACAAGGGCTGGGGCACAGGATGGTGCTGACTCTGTGGCGGGGGTGTGGTCCTCTGCATTCCGGAACACAGCCTGCTGAGGGGCGCAGCCCTGGGCCAGAGAAAGCCTGCCGCGTCTGACTTTGGGCATCTCCCGAGTCTCAGCTGCGCCCTGTTGAGGCTGTCTCTTGGCTGCAGCCTTCTCCTTCAAGCAAGGACGAAGTACGGAGGTTAGAAGGGAGTTCTTTAAACTCACTTGCCTGCATGTGAGACGTGGAACATGCTAACCAAATGTGCCATACACCAAGTACAGATTCCAGTCTGACTTAAAAACCACATTCAGTAAAATGTACAAAAGTGTTTAAATAAAATGTTCTTCTCCTGCACCTATTTCTGTTCCCACCCCTGGAGTCTATGTGACCTCTGTGTTTAGAAGCACCATCTGCATGCTTTCAGAGCCCTGCAATGCTCCTTGGTGGTCTGTGTGGGCCTGGGGCGAGCAGCTGGGGGACGTGCGTGTGAGGGCAGCGCGAGCTGCTGGCTCCGTCTTGGGCAGAGCCTTCTGGGTGCGCAGCCCGTGGCCCCTGGGCACCTGTCGTGTGCTCCAGGGACAGCCTCGCCTCGCTCTGGTCCTGAGGTGCAGGGGAGGGCACTGTCATCACTGTACTGGCTTCTCGTCCCCTCCAAATAATAACACGTGGCTGTTACAGCTGTACCTCTGTGTCAGAATGAGAAACGCTGGGTCAAGAAGCCCACGTGCGGAGGAAGAGCCACAAAGCATAGGCCTCCCCGACCCCTCAGCGCACGCCCGCCCCTCAGGCCTGCCTTCAGAGGTGTGAGCCCTCCTCAAGCAGATCAGGTCATGAAAATGGAAGATTTGAACACTCCAGCTACTGCTCGAGACACCGAGTAGGTATGGAGTTCCTTATATGATTGTCTATTTCCTTAGTGTTTCTGTGTGTTGCCCTATACCTTCTAGAAGCTTCTATAGAATACTTCCACTAAGGCATTTCCACAGGGTCAGACACATTGCTGTCCGTATTTCCTGGGGAGTCTAGGTGGAGCTCCTTGGCACCCTGCTTGGGTCAGGACCAGAGAATGGCATGTTTCTTTGTTTTGGGACTAGGAATAACTTTTCATTTTATGGATTTATTTTCATCTTCAAAAGCAAAGGACCTCCGTTCATCCAAACACTTGGGTCACTCCCTTTGCCCCCATACACTAGGTGCATTAGCAGGTAGCTGGATTAGAAGAGGAGTGTGCCCGGTGTGGTAGCCTAGTGGCTAAAGTCCTCACCTTGTATGCACTGGGATCCCATATAGGTTCCGATTCTGATCCTGGTGACCCCACTTCTCATCCTGCTCCCTGCTTATGACCTGGGAAAGCAGGAGAGGATGCCCCAAAATCTTGAGACCTTGCACTTGTGTGGAAGATCTGGAAGAAGCTCCTGGCTCCTGGCTTTGGATTGGCTCAGCTCCGGCTGTTGTGGCCACTTGGGGAGTGAACCAGTGGATGGAAGATCTTCCTCTCCTTCTCTCCTTCACTCTGTAAATCTGCCTTTCCACAAACAAAATAAACCTTCAGAACAAAAAAAACAGGGCCTGGCGTAGTAGTATTTACCTACTAGGTCATCATGCCGGACCCAATACCTCTGTTTTTGAAAGCAAAGCACACCAGTACTATATGCAAGCATTTGTAGTTCAGGAACTATTGCTCTGTTAAGATTTGTAGGTTACCTGTTCTGCCCGTAGCTTTGAGGTATGAGAGTTGCTCCTTGCCGTATAACCAATATGCCCTAGCATTGTGGGGAGGGAGATGGGATGTGGTGTGCGTATGGTAACATTCCACCTGCGTTGCTGGTACCCATGTGGGCACTGGTTCGTGTCCCAGCTGCTCTTCGTCCGGTCCAGCTCCTTTTTCACAGCCTGGAGAAGCAGCAGAGGGTGGCCAAGCAGTCCTTGGGGTCCTGCACGCTCACATGAGACTCGGAAGAAGCTTCCGTCTGCAAGCTTTAGACCAGCACAATTCTGTCCATGGCAGTCACTGGGGAGTGAACCAGTGGATGGAGCTCTCTGCCTGTCTGTCTCTCTCTCCCTCTTATTTTCAAGTAAAAATAGATCTTTAAAAAGGCTTGTCTCCGTGGTTTTATAGGTTTGGGACCAGGGGGGAGACTAACAGTTTGGATGACAATGCATTGAGCAAAGTTAGGTGCTGGCTTTATTTTTGCCGGCAGAAATTCTCTTAGCATTTAGCTTAGAGCTTAATGGATTCTTCTGTGCATGTGTTGGTTAGGACACCTGTTTGGAACCTGAGTGGTTTGGACTCCTGACTGAAGCTTGTCACGTAGCTGTCGCCATCAGACAAGCTCTCAGGCAGCAGGCTCCATCTTATCTGGAAGACATGCAGGCAAATTCGATAACACATCAAAGCATTTCACACGGCATCTGGTGCATAGTGGGGCTTCCACGTTCTGCTTTGCAATTCTTATCTGAGGCAGGGGTGTGGTGCAGTGGAAGTGACGGCGCCCTCCATCTGCTGGCTCACTCATCCCACGCCTGGGTGCTGGGCTGGGCAGGGGCCAGCGCCAGGAGTCAAGATCTCAGTGCATTTCTCCTGCCGGGGCGAGGGTGGGATTCAGTGGGGCGGGCCTCCCAGGAGCT